CTTAGATTTTAGATTCTTGTGCCATGGGACGGGGACCAGATGAATTCCATGGCTCAGGATTCTGGTATTTCATTAACGGTAATGGCCAATGATCGATACCCTTGCTCTCCTGAGGCAGCTTTCCTTGAAGCATAACTAATCTGGGCAAGTGTCCAATGGCAGACATAGAAGAGTGAGGCACCTTCTGTCTGCATTGCACTAGGACCCAGTGAACTATTTCTGAAGGTATTGGATGCCAGGACAGGAGCGAGTTTTTCAGACCAGGATTCATCAGTTCTTCATCGCCCCGTGTCTGTGCACTGCCCCACAGTGGATAGAGACTCTCTGCCCTTCCCCCAACAAGGAAATTTTTTTTTGTTATCATGCAAACCTTGCCCACAGACATATAGGTTTAGATAGAGCAGGTGTAAAAGCCCAGGTCTCTCGTTGGCACTTACAGGAAAAAGGTCTTTTATTTAATCATGCCATAGAAGTGTGCTTGTTTTCTAATGAGAGACAGAAAGGGGTGGATCCAGTTAGGAGGGGAAGTGGGGGGAACTTGAAGAAGTAGAGGGAGGAAAAACTTAATTATGCATAATACCTAGTTATCCAAATATAGACTTAAGATGATTATTTTTCCCTTTTATTGGAGATAGATTTTTTTTTTCTCACATAATATGCCCTGACAGACCCATGCAGGCCCTGTGCGTGCTACCTCAGTCTCTACGAGTTCATATGCGCTTTGATCGTGTTGGTTTAGAGGCCTTGTTTTCTTGATGTTCTCCACTCCTCTGGCACTGAAAATCTTTCTGCCTCCTCTTCTGAAGGGTTCCCTGAGCCCTGAGGGAGGGAAATGATGGAGGTGTCCCATTTAGGGCTGAGTGTTCCAAGTCTCTTATTCTCTGCACACTGTCTGGCTGTGGCTCTCTGTATTTGTTCCCATCTGCTGCAGGAGGAAGATTCTGTGATGATGGCTGAGAAGCCGCTGATTTACGAGTCTAGTAAAATGTCATTGGGAGTCATTTTATTGTTTCTTCTTCTTCTTCTTCTTCTTCTTCTTCTTCTTCTTCTTCTTCTT